CAAAAAAAACCAAAAAATTTTTTTTTTTTTTTTTTTTTTTTTTTTTTACAGGTCATTATGGGCGTCATTGGCAAGATTTCTTCTCTCTAATAAGTGCCCTCTGAGTAATTAGTTTTACCTAATCCGTGGTTCTCAAACTGTGGTGCAGCTACTGCTGGTGGCACTCGGGCCGCCTCTGCTGATACTCAGGCTTAAAAAAACAAACAAACAAACAAACAAACAAAAAAACAGTGCTAATTTAAAGGTAAGAAACCAACCAAACAAAAATTCTTAGTTCAGGCAGACCAATCTTTGTCCGAAAGAAACACCCCTCCTCTGTACTGAAAAGTGTGGTGTAACTCATTGTGCAGCATTAAAGTCGTTTTATGCTGTCTCTGATTAGTCTCACAGATTGTAGCAGAGAATGACATTATTCCTGCAGTTGAGCATGATCTAGTTGCAAGTCAGCTGGCAGTGAAATTAATTATTTGCTTCTGTGCTTATAGATATTTTCGATAAAAGCTTTTCTTTGACACAAAAGGAGCATCTTCAAAAATACATTCTGTATAAAGCTAGCTATGATTAATAAACTAAAGCCCTTTAGAGGTACTCATGAAAAATGCCAGTGACTTTTTCTGTCTGGATTAGTCATATTGGATATCAAAATCCGACAAGTACAAAGAGAATGAGCCCGCAGTTTTAAATTAACTTCAAATGCACAGTAAAGTGAAATGATAATTTCATTAAATTGGAAAGGTGCTGAGAAACTGTTTTCTCATCTTGCTTCATTATCTATGTTGGTATCTTTAAACACATTTTCTGTGGGTTTAAAAGGAAAGAAGTAACGCGCATTCAGTGAAACATGCCATTGTGCAAAGCATACGCAAAATGGTGCTACGCGGTATAAATGTTAATTTCCTTGTAGATGCACCATTACATACACATACAACAGGATGTATGCAGTAGATTATTATGCATAATTTCAGTACATACAGCTAATACTGCATGCCCCCCCCCCCGCTTCTATAAAGTAATCTTTAATAATCTAGTGTTCCCTCAGTGGGCTTCTTAAATCTAGTTTCCCGTGAGGCTCTGCCAGGCAAAGTGTAATTTAGAACAGTGACGAAAAACTACTGAAATCCAATATTCATTTTATTTATTTTTTCCCAAGCTGTACATAGGCTATATGTACATAAACCAGATAAAACAAGGAAGTAATCACTGTTTCACCAGAGAAAAAAATTGCTAATGAAAAAAAAAATGATCTCAATATAACACCAAAGCATTCAGCATTCAGTATGTTATCCAAAAAAAAAAAAAACTCAGTGTAAAATACAAATGACTCGTATTTCTAATAGTATTTTGTAGCTTACATGACATATAACATATAAGCCATGATGGAATAAGGTACAGTGAACGTTGGGTAATGCAACTATAACCGACACGTTAGATTCAGTAACATATGCAATGGGCTACAAAGACTTGTTAAGTGCGAGGGTTATTTCATTGAAGGCTGAGAATCTAGAGGTGTATAGGTTCCAGTCATTTCTAAATATATCAGTCACCAAAAGATGCTCACAGCACCCACTCAAACAGCACACTTTCCAGTACAGAAGTACAAGACTGTAATCAGAGCAAGGTCAGTGCTGATAGGGGGGAAAAAAAGCAGCTCAGGCAGGAAGAAATTCAAACTCCCTCTCGTTATCTCCTTGGCTTTACTTAGAGTCATGCTGCATTCAGTGCATCTTGTGAGTGGAAGGTCCAAAAGGTTTTTATGTGTGTTTCTGAGAAAGAAAGAAATAGATGGTGTGCAAGCACCAGAACTGGCACTGCATTTAGAAGTACTTAGATGAAATGCTGGCATATATTTCACTACAATAAATTAACTGTGATCATTTGCTCCAGTATAGTATTCTTTGCGTAACAAAAACTACACAAAGTGGAGGAGAATGTTTGGAGAAGTCCAGGTAGATGAACCCTGGCTCAGAAACAGGTGTTAGTATGAGGAATCTGGAAATGAAGTCAACCCAACTTTCTAGAAACGAGTTGGAAAAACTGTTGATATGCCAGACTAACTAATACCAAGTTAATGGTAAAAAGATCTGTTAGTATTTTGAATTCTCAGACATTGTAAAAACTTCAGCATTAGTGAGGCTGGTGTACTAACCTAACCACTTGTTTGGTATAGTAAACTCTGTGACATGATACACAATTTTAACAATCTGAGCCATTTAAATGTGATGTGATTATCATCACCTTTGTCTAATAACTGAGAGAAGCGGAAGTATTGGAGAACGGCTTGTATTTTTAAAAAGAAAACTGTGGGGCGATACCTGTCAAAGATTTCTAAAATGTTTCAAAATCGAACTGTTATTTTTTGTTTTTTGGACAAGGCTGCAGAGTGTTTCTTCATACCAGCGTACGCTTAAGACTTGAGAAACTGTAGTAGCGAACCTTAGAAGTTTCTCCCAGTGACTCATCCGCTTTCATTAAAACGACACCCACATGCACATTCACACCATCAAATGATTCTATTATACACACCAATAATTCTGCAGCATTTCTTTGACACTTATCTTTATAAATGCTGCAAAGCTTTTGAAATAACTCTGCCTTCATAGTGAAAAATGTCCTCCAAGTCCAACAACTTTAAAGGTAAAACATTCTCCCTCTTCGCTAAGAAACTCTGAGACTGACCTGGCATCAAGATCACTTTTTCTCAAGAAAATTAGACTGAACGTAGAGGTGGAATTTGGGGTTTTCTTTTCACATCTTTTTATTATTATTATTATTGTTGTTGTTGTTGTTGTTGTTGTTGTTGTTTTAACAATTAAAATTGATTTTAAAAAGTACTTTGAACTTAGTTTTAACCATGAATTTCAGCCAGCTTAGTCATTTTGCTGAAGGCTAACAAAATTTCTGCCATTACATTTTTTCAGTGATGTTAAACATTAGGTTGGTAAAGACACTTTTGATTTAACTTCAGGGTTAAATCATACTTTTGCACCAATATAATTGGTGCAAAAGTATTCACACCAATTATATTTCATAAAAAATTAGATAAACCTGAAGCAAAGCCAGGCTGTTCTACTTGGATTTTCTTCACTTTTTCCATCTTTGCATCATTTAGCTAAAGCCGTCATCTGCAGTCAAAGGGTTTAAAAAATTTCCACAGCATTCTTTACAAAGCAAAGTTGAAGATGAGGAGAATTTTTTTTTATTATTGCAAACAAATTAGCTTTTAAAGTAACTTTAGAGGTGAAAAGGTGTTTTTTAAAAAATAAAATAAAATAAATAAATAAAATAAACTGAGTCAAATAAACCACCATGCAGTAGAATCAGATTGGCATTTGAATTACGTTTAGTTGCGTATAGAAGGCGAACTTGGCATACATGCCGTGTGTATTTTTGTCTTGCCCCACTATGTTCAGCATCTCAGCCCCAGCGGACCCTGTGGACACAAACCACTTAGAGAGCAGAAGATTTAATAGATTTTAAAATATTTCTCAACCAACGTGTCTCACTTTAAGAGCCAGCCCGAATAAAACTTTATATATAAAATCATCAATCAACAGTGCTCCTCAACTCCTCTGCTACCCTTTCTTTCAGCCTTTCTTTCAGAAGACAATTAAAGCATCTGTAATTAGATCTGGATATGAGAGATATCCCAGACAAATGAGTAGCAAGCATTTGCTCAAAGCTCAAATAAGTCAGAGGCGGCAAAATAATGATGTGGAATTTAAAGTGAGTCTGTTGTGTGACCGTGTTTATGGTCTGTGGTCATAATCACGAGTCTGAAATAGTGCAACAGCTGTTGGAGATTCCAAAATGAACAGTGGCAAATCGGAATAAGCCTGAGTTTATGCAATAAATAGAACCCATCCAGCGTTCTTTGGCCTGGGCGCGTTCACACTGCAGCCTGAAGTGACCCAATTCTTTTTTACTTAATGTGGCCTGTATCCTATCTTTTTATGGCGGTGTGAACAGCACAGGTCGGATTCTTTTTCGAATGTAACCCATATCCTACACGTCTCCGATGCAAATGCGACCTACTAATGTCCAGGTCGCATTCATCCGAACTGAACGTCACTGATTCTCAATAAATCTCACTATTCTCGTCCTGATACGCGCAAGTGGGAAGAAAAACAACAACCATGACGGATTATATGAGGATGAAGTTGTTAATATGCTGCTCCGGCCGGACAACAACTTCAAATGTGTAAGCTAAGCTCCACCGTTAGCCTCCATGTTTACTTCCGCAAACACTGAGCACTTCTTCTTTTTATGGCAGTTGGCGCTGACGCTATTGCGCCCTCTACTGCGCATGCGGGACACTTTCAGGTCGTTTGCCCGTTCACATTGCAGAACACATACAGGTCGCATTTACTGGCAGTGTGAACGGGCCCGGCAAAAAAATCGGAATTGCCAAAAAAATCGGAATTGGGTCACTCCAAGCTGCAGTGTGAACGCACCCAGATATCAATGTGTGAAATTCTTAAAATAAATGTACAACTTAGTTGACCAACTTACACCAAACAATTTGCTGCTGTTTTCAAACAGTTGGCTTTAGAAATTAATTTGAACTCCATCGACATCACTATGCATGTAATGACAAGAGAAACACAGGTTCTCACGCTAGCCTTTTGTCTCACAGCTTTTGTAGTTTTCAGATTTTTCTAGTTATTGCTCAATCTGTAGATATGAGCAAGTTTAGGTGAGTATATTAACACACACCTTGGTTACATGAGTGGCATGTTCTCCCCTTCTTCCCATTATGAAAAGTGGCTAGGAGCTTTTTTCTCACATTAGCATCTTAGTCAAACAGGACGTTGTGGATCACTAATTAGAGGATCTAAAACTAATGTAAGTTTTTTTTTTTTTTTAAATGCTTGAATCACATTTATTTTTATAGGAATTGTGAGGGGATAGGAGGAAACAAAATAAAATATTTTTCAAAACATGTTATGATTCAAGATGGAACTGGACCATACTCCATGGCAACAACGTTTTACACAACATGTGACTTTTAAAACTGGTGAATTTAAACATATACAAAAGAAAAATAAACTTACAGTTTAGACTACAACTACCAAAAGGAGAGGGAGAGAATTTAAGCCTTCTAGCTAGCAGTGGTAAGTAACTATGCTTCATAAAAATTACTTTAGTTATACACTGTAATTGAGCTTGGACAATGGTAAAGAGCAAGAAAGAGCAAGACCAATAGAGCCTTGACAATACATTGCTTTCCTATTTATGTGTCATTACCAATAAAAAAACAAATGTGATCTTAATGACGTCTCAATGTTGGCTCTAATGTGTTATAGCCTCCATGTATGAAAAACAATCTAACTTTTCACGCGGAACCGGAGAAGAGAAAATTTCCTGATGGCAGCCTCTAGAAGAAAGACAGGCCACACTGCCTCTCGCTTCAGGTGCAGCTTTTCCTCAAAAATTTTACATTTTCCTTACTGTGTGATGGTTGTAACTTTTTTATGTTGTGCTACTTTCTTTGTATAATGTTTGTTACCTTATGTTTTTATTTGAATCAGGCTCAAATGTTTTTTTTAGAATTTGTATAAAGATCGGCAAAAAAAAAAAAAGAAAAAAAAGGCATGTATCAATGCAATCCACTGTATCTCTGTTTAGCCAATAAATTCACTTTTTCTGACTGGTCAGGTTGCGACAGCAGGCAGCAAGTGACAGGAGATTCTGTATCGTATGGATCAACAGAATGGTGAATAAACAGGTGGAGAAGAAAATCGCTGAAGTGCAGGAAGAGATTCTTCTCATGTATCTCGAGCTGAGAGTGCACATAGCAGCCAAGTTTAAGGAGCATTTGGGAGAAGCAGTGGTGACTCAAAACAGAGAAACCCCCGGATTTAATAGGTTATCTGATACAGAAGAGATGGAGACAATGCAGCTTACAGATGAAGGAGGAGGAGAAAAACCACAGAGCGGTAGTGACTATCCAACACACTCATCACCAGAACCAGATCAAGGCTTCAGGAAGACTTTAGGCACATTCAGTGAATTCGATTTGGTGGATATCAGAGACACAGACGTCAAGCATTTTCCCGGCAATGATCACAGTGCGTCGCAAGAGGCCCGACGAGAGCCGATTTCTCCGTCAGGTGACCCAGCTGTCTGTGACAGCTGCAAGCTGATGAAGAAATCAGTGGAGAAACAATGCCCCCACGATCCCTCCCAAATGCTCACGGGCAGAGAGGAGGAAAGCGTCGAGGACAAAGCAAAAGCGGAGCAGGACGCACTGATGAAGGCGCAGTGGAAGGAGTGGCTGGACAAGCAGGAAATGAAAGGGAAGAAGAGGCACGAACAGAGGAACGTTCACCAAAGAGCGATGAGATCGAGCTCATCAGACAAACAAACGACGAAAACAAAAAAATCTGGACAAATAGGCACCATGAAGAAAATCAAAACATATATCAGTGAATTGTTTAATTCTTCTGAAAAGAAAAAGTGGGACATGCTTTACGAGGAGGACTGACCCTCAACTCCTCACGGATTAGTTTGTTGTCTCAATGTCGTGCTGCGCATAAAGGCTCAAACTACAGTTACTCAATAAACAATGAACACAGTCTGCAGCGTACCATTTTGTCAGAACTCAAGAGAACATTAAAGTGAATTAATGCATGAGGTGAGCTGAGGCAAAGTTGACTACAAACATGGTTTCTTTACCTTCCAAACACTGCCAGATATTGAAGACACAACCAGGGTGCGCCATGATGCACAATATTAAAAATAATGTAAGTTACATACTGAAAATGGTTGTTGTTACTTATTTTCATGTAAAAGGAAAGGTAATACTGTCACAGACCATCTATGGCTAACGATCAGCTTGTCCCTGTGCAGTGCAAAAGTTTTATTTTTCTATTATTATTTTTTATCTGAATTAGTTTGGTGAGTAGTCAGACCTCAACTGGACTTATTCTGCACAGAACAGAAATCGATGTAGACGCATTTTAAGAGTTATACCATCATTCGACAAGTGAATAACGGTATAACTACACATATATATGCACAGTGTGGATGCTTGCTTGTTTGTCTATGAATTGACGCAGGAGGGGATCTCATGCAGGGACGCTGTTCATGCAAGAGCCACCAGTCCTTCCAAGCACCGACACAACAATCAAATGTGCTGTTCCGTTAACTAAATGTTCATACCTACCTCCTACTCCCTGCTAGAAAACAGTTGGTGCAGTGCAAATGCTTTTCGAAATGAAATCAAAAAAGATTACACATGAGAACTGCTCTCACTTGGCAAACATCTAAGGCAGAAATGAAGATCAAAGCTTTTAGACGCCTACATTAATATTCATTTATCAGAGGGAAAATAAAGGCTCAGACCACATTTGTCAGAAAACATCCAGAGCTCTTCAAAACTTCAGAAAATGGCAACGGCAAACTCCAACCGCGTCCAGAACCATCAATATTATTAAATTATAGTTAACGGGGGGTTTTGTTAAAATGTCGTACAACATTCGTTTTCTCACATATTCCAAGTCAGTGTTGAGCGCTCGGTCACAATGGGGCCAATCAATATTTAATTTGGTCATTTTGGTCCACTACGCATTACATATACAGTAACAGGAAGGCAGGCTGAATGTTCGGATGTTTTCTGCTACATGAAGTGTTTTACATGCAAGTCAAAAAAGTTCAGTTCTGAATTTACCTGACCATGTGTTTAAAACAGGTTTGCTGTGAGTCTCTCAGAAGTTTCGTTGCAAATTTCAAATAGAAATTCTGTCCTTTGACACTGACTTTCTTCTTGCCCTTCGTCCTTTGTGCTGGGGTGCAGAACTGGCTGCTGTCTGTTCACTAATGTTCACTATATTAAGGCCTTAACAGAACAGATGCATTCATACTGAGATCAAACAGCACGCATATCAAAATTTGTGCAGACAACAGACTGGACTGGATTTTATTTAAGAGTGTCAGATTGAAATGAGCTTAATGCAAATGCACACCACACTTTTGAGATTATTTACTTTTAAAAAAAATTGTGAAAACCATGTATAGTTTTCCTTCCACTCCACCAGCATGTTTGTACTACTTTGAGTTGGTCTATTACACTAAATCTAACACATTGTAAATGTTGGCAAATTAGGTCATTATTGGTTGTGAAGGCAAGAGAAAGTCAGCAATCATATTTCAAAGGAAACACTGGAAAGGACTCATAGCAAGCTGAAAGCTTTTTTTTTATTATTATTATTTATGATGTACCAAAGTGCTTACAGCAGGACAGTCTCATCTCTCTTGGAAGTCAAATCAGATTTTCACCAGCAGGTGGCACTAGGTCTCTTCCAAGGTGCATCACAAGTAACGCTTCACATCAGCAGCACCAACAGAAACACCATCCTGCAGATACTGTACTGAATTACTTGCTGTCTGTCGTTTCATTGCACTTTGTAAAGGAGATGACGATGTGCCAAAGTATGGAGCCAGACCATTAAATAAAACCAGAACCTCAAAGAGGTGCCAGTCCTAAAAAATACGCTCACTAAAACAACATGTGCTGCACACACACTAAGTGTGAGGGTGAGACTAACACCTGCGATACAGGAGTAAGTTATCTTGTAATGATTTGTAATGATTTCCAACTCCTGTAGTCAAACCTAACACGAGAAAATAAGAAGCTTTATTGTGGTGCAAGTGGTGAGCTAATTGAAACTGTAAATACAAAAACTGCTGGATTAGTTCAATCAAAATGATGGGTTAACAATACCCATTCGTGCAGAGAGTTAGAGATCTCACAGCCCACTTTTCTATCAGACCACTACAAAGAAAACAACAAAACAAAACAATACTCATCCATTCCTTCAATAAAATGTTCCATCTGCCTTTTGGCTTATTTTTTTTTAACAGATTGCCATTTTACTAGACTCTAGATATAAGATGTATTAGAATTAACAAAAGCTGTAAACTTCTGCCATAGCTTAAATCATTTTGATTTAGAACTGATTTTGACTTGTATAGGCCATTACAAATAAAAATAAAAATCCGACAGAGAAAAATGAGTAGCTGCCAGGGAAGCTGTGGGTAGCCTAATAAAAACACCAAGAGTTTTACCTGTGTTCAAGTTTCCTCTGCACCTTTTGTGTCATTCAGATATTACTACCATTAGAGTTACCTTATTTAAAATAAAAAAAAAACTACAAAGTTTTAAAAGTGTACGTCTTGGACCCACTGCTTGGCTGCTCTGCATGCACAGCTATAAGTGCTGTAATGCAAAGGTAGTCAATTCACGTCCTCAAGCCGACAGAATTGTACGTTTTCTTTTTTTTTTCATGTTTCAACACAGGGGATTAAAATTTAAATAATTTCCCATCAATGACTGAAGAGAAGCATTTATGATTTATTTAGTAACTCAAGTATGCTGAAGCAGCAGGGAGACCTCAAAAAGTGAGCTGTCAGGATGGAGGATTCTCTCTGCACTGTGTGAATCTGTCCTCCTGCACGGTTCTGTCAATGTTGTGATCTGGCATTTATTAGGCTAAAAGCCTTTGCAAGACGAGGCTCTCTGGATCCACACACCAATCAACCTTTAATATGGGTATTCATTCCCAGTTAATTCAAATCCTCTTAATCCTACTACCTTTTTTTTTTTTTTTTTTTTTTACAAAACTTTTATACATTTAAGCAGTTCTGGTGCTTTTATTGGAGATTTGTCCCCACTGGAAGCATTTTTATAAACACTGAAAAACATATTCATCCAAAAGTCATCCAAAATCCTCTTTACTAGTATGTTTGAGTACCTCCAATTTGGCTGTTCAATCAGGACTTTTAGAAATGCATGAAAACGCTCCAACTCAACCCGGCATCAATGAGCCTCTTAAACAACATCATTTAAAATTATTCTGTAGAGAAATATTAATGTCAGCAAATGTGTTAATGACTCGAGTTTTACTACACGATTAGCACAAGTTTGTACCAGCTATAATTCATATTATTTTTTTATAATGAAAACTGGTAGTAAACTGATTATAGGGAGGATTGACTTTATACAGTGCAATAGGCCTATATGAGGAGGATTTTTGCCTTTTGAAATTAAAGTCACTGTTAAAAAAAAGACGTTAAAAGGTTGTTTTCTTTATAGATCTTCCAAAAAGACAGACAATACCTATTGATCAAGAAAAATGATGCAAGTCAAAGCTCTACAGTGTGAGTGAAAACATTTTCCAGGGTAGACATAGGCACTGTCCCGATCTTAAAAATGTACATGTGTAGCAGTGCAGGAGAGCAGAAGCGCTCCTTCTGTCCTCCTCTGTCACCATTATCCCCAAACAGATCAGATGCAAGCCTGCAGCAAACATGAAAATAAATAAAAATAAATAAATAAATAAAAATAAATAAATAAATAAATAAAACAGGCCTTCTTGAACGGTATATTTAGCTCATCTCAGCCATGATGACAAACATTCTTTTCCAACCAATGTTTAAAACCACCAGCTGTCCAGGTTGCAGCCTATTTGCCTAATGATCACGTATGTTTGATAAGCCAGGGGTTTAGCTAAAGTGAGCTCAAGTAAAATCAGACAGAATAATCCGGTCAGTTTTATAACAGCTCTGTCTTAGTAAAGCTTCCCCATGTGTTGGGCCAGCAATACAGAGAAAACGTGAAAATGAGAGGTACATTTTTAACATACATACATACAAGACCAAATGATATTAAAAATAAACTCTACATAAATATTTTATTGTTCAACATTTGTTAAATGTCACTTTTTTTTTTTTTTTTACATCCATCTCAATCAAACTTTACATTGAATGTCATTCATCAGCTCCAGTCGAAAGCAAGCTTCCTTTAGATTGGTGACTTGGCATCAGATCAAATGAAAGTAAAACAGCTAATTTAAAATTCTTGAGTGCTCTGTCACAATGGGACCCATCAATATTTAATTTGGTCATTTATGATAACGACTAGGAATACACTACAGCACTGGGATGACAGGCAAAAAATGTTTGGATATTCAGAATGTTACACAGACTTACAGATGATCTTTATGGCCAATTCCAACATTGGTGATTGAACAAACTTTCTATCAACAATACTACAATACTACAATACTAGTCGTTGAAATGTTTGTTTGCAACTACTGCTTGCTAGGGCAGAGAAAGGTTCACTGCAGGGAAGCTCGTTTGCATTTGGCGTCCACTCACCACTGAGGAAGTGAGGCCAACATTGAGTTGCAAATCAACTTTGTCTGTTTAGCATGAAGAGCAGGAAAACATCCCTGGGCCTTTCCTCAACATGTGTTAGATTCAGAATCAGCAGCCATCGCCTGCTGGGGGAGACATTACTGTTGTCTGCTTTCCTTTCGTTTTCATACCCAGTGTTATCTATGAATGCTCACAGTGGCTCTACTTCTAATTCTTATGTTATTAATAGCAAGAGAGAGGAAGAACCAGAAATGTGCACACAGACAATGTTCACTCAAAGCGAGGGCGCACTTTTCCTTTTTGGCCAAAACTTGCCAGATTTTCAACAAATTTCAAACTGGTGGCATTTTGATTGTTTTGTGTTTTGTATTTTGTCTGCCATCTTTGCACATGCTGATCCAATGTTTTGACTGATGAGTC